CAATCTCTCCGGTCAAATTCCTCAATCTCAAAGTCGAAAAGATTCGGCAACCAAGCGATGCAACCGTCTCAGGGTACTGCAGGTACCACACGAGCACTCAGCTCGATGGCCCCACATACGTTGAGCCGGAGCTTGAGCCAAATTACAAGGTTTCGCGTTTGTTCGTCTTTACTTACGAGGCCGAAAGTCCATATATTATACATATATATAAGTTATCAATGAATTGGATTGCATCCACTGCACAGCCTTGGCGGGCGGGGGAGGCGGTGGTGCTGCAGGTATACCTTCTGCACAAATCAAAACATTAAATTGAAAAGCGTTTATGCGTATAATGAAACAATGAAAACAGAAACCCGCCAGGAAAAGACCCAAGTGTATCCCTCCAGATTTGGTCATCACTGTGTTCAGCTGTGAAACTCCAGGCCTTCCTCGTCTTCCTCTTCTTCGATTGTCAACTTTTGTGCGTTCGACAACAGCGCAGCAGCCTGAGATTGTGAAACATCCAGAACAAAGCGCAGCAAAACACGCGGAACACATCCAAAAAACATGTTGCTTGCGTTGTTTACATTCTTCTTACCTCTCTCCATGAGTGCACTGAGACAAGTGGCTGCTGACTTGCGGTCGGCCGCAGCTTTCTCAGCCGCGGCTTTGTCTGCTGCGGCTTTCTCTGCTTTAGCTTTGGCCGCCGCCAACAACTTTTCTCTGAGATGTTCGCTCGGTTCTGGTTTTTGTGTCCTGGCCACGTCTTTTGGATTGGTGGAGTTTGGAGGAAGCAAATAGTAGTAAACTACTAAACAAATGCATTCCGGGCACCCCTAAATACAGCTTATTATTACCTTTGTTTTAGACTGACTGTCCCCCTTTCTTTCTACTACTAAATTGCCCCTTCGGTTTGGAGGTTTTGTCAATTCTTGACAGGAGTTTAATGATGGATCCTCAAAAAACTATCCTGGGCAACTTTTCCGTTTCCCATCTTTGGGGGGCCGTGTTTTTAGTGTAATATGTGAAAGGGATCATATAGATTAAAAAATATTAAAAACATCGGGGGACGCAATTATGTACACTATTGGCCCCTTTGGGCGCCCTTTTGATGTCGCTGCCGTGCTCACTGTGATTTCTCAAGTGTCGAGCCTGGATTGTCCAAGCCCAGCTGGCCTCGGTCTCTCATTGAAATCAACAAGATCTGTCCATTATTCTATCTGGCGTTTGCTCTGGCCATAGGGAACTCCAATTAACAATTACAGTATACTGGCATATCGCGCTTGAAATACTCTTCCACATGCAGCTCAAGTGCATTGCTTTCGCGTTGGGTTTCTTAGCAGCTGGTTTTTCTGGCCTGAGGCAGGTAGGCAAATCACAATGATCTCAGGAGGTACACGGTTCAAAACATCAATGGCAATTTCAATAGCATTGGTCGCATGGACATTCAATCTGACTGCAGGGAATTTCGCCATTCACTCAGACTTCGGCGGCTTCACCTCCTCTACTTTTTCCGGCCTGCGATCTGAAGCTGATTTTATGAGTAACAGGAGGTAGCAAATGTTTTTCCCAAATTCCTACCGGTCGGCTTTAGCAGCAAGTTGTTGTAAATCTGAGGACCCTTTCTTGGTCGAGTGGCTACTTTCAGGACTACAAACAACATGTCAAAAGATTCGAGCGCCTGAGGTTCGTGACTTTGTTTGCAGCCACTGAAGCCTGTCCAGCTTGCGTATATACAAACATTTCTCAGCAATCAAGCCTTTGTGCCAGAGGATTCTTCACAAGTCATTCGAAACCTGTGGTTGTGCTAAGTGCAAACTCATGGCCTTGCCATCCGACTGAAAGGCAGGCGTGCGCGGCCTTGGGCTCTGCCGGTCTGCGGCGTGGGCTGCCGCTACGAGCGACTCAAAGACCCTCAAAGATCCTTGTTTTGCTATTTGCACCCTTGCAATCTGCAAAAGGATCCAACGACTATTTGTAAAGGACATGATACCTACGAGTTCATGAACCTGAAAATATTGTGGGGGGAGTTTTGGCCTCGCAAAGAGATTTTGCGAGACAAGTTCACCGAGCTGCACATCACCAATTCACCACTTGACACTTCACAAGGCACACCGGCAAAATTTTGCAAATGAATGCAGATCGTGTGTTTCAGATCAAATCCAGGTTGCTTGAGCGTCTCCCCGTTGCTTCCTTTCCAAGGATCTTGCCTCGTTCCCGCAAAAAAAAGCACATTTCGCATGGTTCCGACTCGGTTCCGAAGACACGCAACAAACTGGGTTTCCGAGCTCAAAGACAGGATCCGAAAGAAGAATACGCTCCTTTCAACAGGGAAAAAAATAACAACGCAGCACCTTCTTTTGCATCTTCCTCCCTCCCTGTCTGAGACCACTGTTCTGCCTCCTCCTCTTCCGGCGGTGTCGTTTGTCGGGGAAAGAGGTCGTCGAGAAGGTCAGTGACCTTTGACGGCGTCGCTTGCGGCTGGAAGTCTCAAAGAGACCATGCGGACCACAAAGGCCTCTTTGAAAAATTTCTGTAAAACGACCACATGTATTATCATATTTATATACAATATGATATGTATATATATACACATATGCATTATATATAGTAAAAAATAACAACAATAATAACGATAATAATGCAAATATGAAAAAACAAAAAGATCGCTCTGTGGTCTTTTTTGCGAGGCCCTGTGGCCTGTGGCTCTCGGTTAGGTGGCTCCTGCAGTATCGAAATCTTGAAACCGGAAAATGGAAGCTTTATCATCTCGGGTGCGGTATTAACACGGTCATCAAGAACAAGGCTTGTTGCTGTTTGCTGAAAGACTCAATGATACGAAAATGCTTCCAGCAGGTTGGTACAAAAGTATAAATGAATTACTATCAATTGGTTTTGGGAGGCTACACGCGTTATGTAATGGTGAGAGGTCTCTTGCGAAGAAGTTGGTCATCATTACCTTTCTTGAAGACTAGAAAGCTCTTCCCGCAATCAAAGTGGAATGATGCAAGGAGGTGGAATGTCTCTAGGCATAAGATCTGTACTTGACCACAAAACAGCGTTTGCAATCTGGGCTTCCCGGCGGCTGGCTGCTTCACCTACTCGCTTGAACAAGCAATGTGTCAAGTCAGCTTGGCCAAACATATTCACAGGCACACAGGAAGGTGGCCAACACCCAATCACCGTTGTTACAAAGACCAGGAGCCAATCTCCAGTTGAAATGACGCCATGTGTGCAAAGGTGACACAGCTGCTCCGGAACATGAGTGTAAACAGTGATGTGTTCTTGCAGCATTGTTTGGTTCATAGTGCGAGTGGTGTGCCTGTTGGCCGGCTCTAAGCCTCCGCATATATCGATATTCCATATTAGATGCTGACTTGCAAAAGTTATTCACATTCTCGGAGGATAGAAGAAACTTCCCCAATCAGCTCGTGACCAACATGATCAAACAATTGGCCAATGACCCGGGTGATCTACATGGGACGTGTCACATTAGCTGTGCTTCGTCTTTTTCCCCTGCCCTGGGCTCCCCTGCTGGTGCTGGATTTGGCTTTGGAGGCGTTAGAGGCTCACGCTGCAAATCCAAGCGGGTTGCTTTGAGTGATTCCACCTCCTGTTCCAAGGCTGCAATTCGTGCAGCCTGCTGCAAAACGCACGCCTGGCAAAGTGAGGAATGGAAAGCTCTAGTTCAGACTGGCTGCTAAGCCAAGGAAGACGAAGCAAAGAGGAATCTTGGTGCGCCTTCGCGCAGGCTGAGGCTGGTCAATTAGATATTGATTCACAAATGAGTTTAAACTGTCACTACTCCCATCTGTGTGCACGTGGAAGAGCACGAAGGCTCCCGCTCCAACGGTCTGGCCTCTTGCTTGCTGTATTTGTCAGAGAGCACAAGCAATTCATCCTTGACCTTAGCATGGACCCAACAGCAAAGACCCCCAAAAAAAAGCACAACCAGTTGATCTAGAGATCCCCACTTGGGATGGCCTGAGAATGGCACCCACCAAACAGCTTCCAGCAAATTTGTGATCAAATCAATTTGATCCACAGAGACTTGTTTGGACTTCTCCAGAAGTGGCCTTACAAGGAATCGGATGTCTTTGACGCTCGAAAAACAATGCACACATTCCAGGATTTCTGATTTTAGTCTATGAGAATTCCATGTGAATGCATCGTTCTGTACCAACCGTCCCAAGAACCCAGCGCAAGCTCTGGCAAGTCGTGCCGCCGAGATGGTGCACCGTTCTGCATCGCGGATCTGCCACCCGTGCCGTTCGTCCCTCACTAATAATGGCTCTGCCAACGGCAAAACTCCCAGGTCACTCTTTAAGTGCCATGTTGAAGTCCAGGTCCAACGACCTTCCTGCAACCCACCTACCCAAGAACACGGCTCCGGATTCCAAGAAGCCAGCCTGTCCAAGACCAGTCACTTCTCAAATTGGTGAGACAATTGACAGAAAGAAGCATAGCTTGACAGCTTGGTGGCTTGTTATGCTTGTGGTATCTGCTAGGCGGCAATAGGAGTAGCTGAGCATGCTGTAGTGGGCGGAGCGTTTCAATTTAGTAAATCTGCTGTGGGAACTGTAAAAGTTGGACATGTTTTGGACCTGATTCTGGCAAGCATTGTGGGGCCATGTGGCTGGGAGGTCCACGGTGGCAGGCGGACAACGACAAGGCAATTTGTTTCTCATGTCATGGTCCAGGTTGTCCCACATCCTAGGTGGCAGCTGAGAGCCGCAACATCGACAAACGGCCAGGATTGGAAGCAAGATGCAGAAAAAGAAACGGGCAATTAGTAGCAAGAAGCTACCAGTAACAAGGGCATCGCTACTAGTAACAAGGGCATTACTACCAGTAGCAAGAAGCTACTAGTAACAAGGGCATCGCCACTAGTAACAAGGGCATTACTACTAGTAGCGAGAAGCTACTAGCAACAAGGGCATCGCTACTAGTAGCTATTAGTAGCAAGAAGCCACTAAGCATGGGCAAGCTCTGGAGCCAGAATTTGGCAGCTGGTGGCGCACTCGCCATCAGCAGCCTTTTCTGCTTCTCCATCTGCGCTGGAGTCCTGCTTGCCAGTCGGCTGGCACCAAATCAGAGTGAAATGCTGCGCCGCACGAATCCCAGCCTCCTCTTCTGAGCTCCTCCTGGAGGTTCTTCTCGAGTTCCTCACTTTTAGTTTTCTGAGTCAACTGCTACGCGAGCGCCTTAAGCAGGATGAGTCAGGGCCTCTTTCGTTCGATCAGGACCCATGTCTCTTTCATCATCACGCATGGCCAAAGAAAGGCATGAAACGGTCGGATGAAACGCGGCCTCGGTGCCCTTGCTAGTAGCTTCTAGCTACTAGTAGTAGTGCCCTCGATACTAGTAGTAATGCCCTTGTTACTAGTAGCGATGCCCTTGTTACTAGTAGTTGGTACACGGCGGATAGACGGCCGTGGGTTTTTGTGACATTTTTCTGGATATGTTGTTTTCTACAGTACTACGTGTGGGAATTTGGGGTGGGGGGGGTGGGGTGGGGTGGGGCTAATTAGCACACCTGTGGCGTAGCAGCTTATCTATTTCAGTCTATTTTCTTGCAGACCACATTCGGACGAGGTTCCCCTGCTTCCACCCGGATTCTTCCACGCGAAACAATACTCGTACTAGTACCTTGACCCATGAAACCACCCTAATGTAGGTAAATATAACATGCACGGAGTTTGGGACATGTTTTGACCTCTGATCTGAAACCGATGCAGTTTTGTTGCTCATATGGCGGAATTTTCCTTTGTTTCCGCTTTAGGTTTGGCTTTTCTTTTGTTGTTGAGGTTAGGGGGTTGGACAGGGGTGGATCAGCTCCCCGAATCCTTACAAGCTTGGTTTGAGGTAGACCCGTGGTATCTTGATAGTTTGTTGAAAACCTGGAGTGAAAGTTCCACCGCTGATCCGGTTCTTCTTGAAGTTTTGCAAATAGCTCTGCAGCAAGATCGGTGGCCCTTATGTTTTCAAGCACTTCATGACAAGTACCTACTCTTGGCTACCGTTTGGCATAGTTACTACGAAGACATGTTGATGCGCAGGGCAGTTTCAGCAGGCATCACAGCCGCTCTCCTAATTTTTTCTCGTCGGTTCTTCACATACCTTGAGAATCTGGAACGTATTATTTTCTTCACAGCTAGCACTGCTGGCGTCGCCTCGCGATCGATGGCTGCTGCAGATTTGTCCGAGATTGCGCCCAACGCCGATCCTTGTCCTTGCGGAAACCCCCGGCTTCCAGTGAAAAGCCTCTTCCGCCTGCAGCAATCATTCTCTAACCTTCTTGTCAGGAGGGTCCACAGACTCCGACATCATCGGCCTCTGGCTCTTTGTCCCCGCCTATCGGCGACGAATCTCCACACCATCTCCGACAGAAGATTAGGCGCATGGAGCAGCAGAGTGTTGAATTTGCTGCTACGGCAGACGCAGAGTCGCCGTGACCCAGAGGAATTCATGAGGGCTTTACCTGTACATGAGTTAATATCAGAAACATGTCCAACAATATAGATATTGTTGGACACACTTTCCAGGTTTGCGCGAAGGGAAATACTTCTTGTATATTGGTCCGATTCGCACGGATTTTTTGTGGGAAGTGTTTGCGGAAAGACTGATGTTATATTTCACTGCCGATCATTGAGGTTGCCGGAAACACTGCCAGCTCCTGCATCATTGTTGACATGCCAGCAGCGAGGTCGGATCTTTCAAGTGAGGAATGACAAGAGTGATCGCGCGGACCCTTGGGCTGTGGAGCGTGTGTACGGAGGGTTCACACGGAATCCCAATCCTTGGCCGCTTCCCTTGCCTGATAGCACTCCTGCGAAGCCCATCTTCTACCCTGGGCAGCGTGGATTTAAGTTCGGTGGTTGTCCGGAACACAGCAATCGTTCCTTGATCCCCGAGGTTGTGAAGGATTCTCCACAGTGGAATGGAATGGTTCGACTTTTTTGCACAGCAGTGAAAGAAAAGACACCTTCGGGATTTCGAAAGTGTTTGCGCAGCTTTCCATATGAGACCAAGGATTTGCGCAGGTTGCCACTAGATGTGCAACATGAGTTTAAGGCTTTGCCTGCCAGTTTTGCCAGAGGATCTTCTGACACTTGAATGGAAGCTGTCAGATATGAAGGGTTCCGTGAACGGTCGACAGTGTTGGGGATCCTGACCGTTTGATCTGGGTAGATTGTCGGACCTGGATCAAAGATTAAGGAAGGCAAGAGACACATGCCTCAGCTGGGCAAAAAAAAAGGTGGTTTCACAGGAACATTGAGCAGAAAGCAGTCTCTTCTTCACATATATATATATATATATGGTGGTCGTATACATATATACATGTTCCCATATAGATATGTCTTGCGCCCGGCTCTCCTTATATGTCCTATATCTTCGGTTCCTGGTTGCTCTATCATACTCTGATATTTTTCGATGGAACAGACCACGGGCTTTTGGTCATCAACAGATTGACGTGTTCATGAACATGCCCTGCAAAGACGGTTCGCATTGCTGTCTGGAGGTCTCAAACCATTTCCGTTTCCAATGTAGTTTTGGACCTTCGGGTGACACATGAAAAAACCAGCAGCCAGAGCTGCGCGTGGACGAGTCCACAAATGTAGTGTGTGCAAAAAGGAGGGGCACAGGATAGAGCAGTGCACGCGCCCAGCTGCCAAAGAGATTCGGCGGCTGCGCAAGGAGAACGCTGATTTCAGAGGGAAATCAAAGAGAAAAGTGCTGCGACAGGAATCCAAGTGGCGCAAGTCTCCCAAGATAGATGGGCCATGGAAAGAAGAAGCTACTTGTTTGTACAAAGGAAAGCCGGCCGCAAGAATTCCGACCCAGACAGAGGTGCGTCGCACCAGGTACGCTGCTCAACAGATTGCCGTGTCTCTTCCAAGCACTGACCCGGACGCAGTTTCCTGGCTGCTGAAACACGGATGGATCAAGGCACCGTTGAAGTGCGAGGAATGCAACGTGAAGCGTTTCAGTGATGTACTCTGGGACACGGACAGACCTCCCCACTGGAGATGCAAGCACTGCGGTGTTCGCGTGAAAATTTTCGACTTGAGCATCTTTGCTGGGTTGCGTGCGTCGCCGCTTGAACTTACCGCTCTCCTTGGACACTATGTCTCCAGCAATCTGACGCGCTGTCCAAGCGTTCCAGACATGGTACGGGCCCGGCTCTCTAAATGCACTGATTCAAATCATGCTCATATTCACGTCTCCCCTTGCGTGTTACAATGAAACATGCTGATGTGTTCCCCACGTTCATGTGGCGACTTCCTTCTTCCAGGCAACCGGGCGTGGACGCACTTGCTGTGAACACTTCTTGTCCTGTCTTCGCACACTCGAAAGTAGCGCGGGACAGCGCTTCAGCCAGACTTGCCCTTTGCGGGGAGCAGTGGAGGTGGACGCGACCTTCATTGGAAAGTTTCATCTGGCAGCAGACAACATGTGGCACCTGGATCAGATTCAGAAGATTGAACAAGGATTCATCCGCAGAGGAGAAGATTTGCCGAAGTCCTATGTGGGCCACATTATGGTTCTGGGAGCACAGCCACGTACTGGCTCTGCAGCTGTTTGGGTAGCTCGACCTCATGCTCCTCGGCTTCGATAGTTTTCCGCGTTGACATGAATTCTTTGAACACTGCTACCACGCCTGCTCATGAGGTCACTCCAGTGGGCCATCGTCCTGTCACTGAGACACTAGCTCAAGTTGAAGCGTGCGGTTTTTTAGACCGTGTTTCTGGCCGCAGTGTCATCTGCCCAGATGGCAACAAGGCTTGGCAATCCGCGGCAGAAGCTCGTGGGTTGCCGCTGCAGTCAGTTGTCCACCAAGTGAAAATTTTCACTTCACATGGTCCGACTGTTTACAAGGAAGCTTCGAATGTCGCAGGCACGCAGATGCTCGATAGAAGCTGGCGGACTTTAAAGGAGTTTTTGCCGGCCAACCTGGTTGTGAAATGTAAAGAAAGAAATCACACGCAAATGCATCCCAGCGTGCCGCAGTACGTGTACATGTGGGCTTGGCGACAAAGCTTGAACTGTGCGAAACCCGCTCAGTTCTTGCGCTGCTTGGAGGAGCTCCTTTGAAGAGTGAAAAGAAACGATTCCGTGCTTGATGCAGGAGGATGAAGATGTTAACACGTGGCACAAGAGGGATTGGTGTGCATTTGGCATCGCTACTAGCAGCAAGGACGCTATTAGGAGCCCGTGGCCTTACTGCTAGGAACCAGAAGCTGCTAGTAACAAGGGCATCGCTACTAGATTCGAAGTTTATAAATATATGACGGCCAAATTAGTTGCGTAGTTTCGAAAATCCTTCGAAATCGTCATTTCGCCTCAACGAAACTATCATTTTATCGAAACCTGCATGGAATTCACAATGATTCCAATGATGAAGTGTCGCTCACACCATTCCCAATGGAATTACGCACTTAAGATGGACTACCCCACGAACATCCTTCATCACACCACGGCCGTCTATCCGCCGTGTACCTAGTAGTTTCTAGCTGCTAGTCCTTGTTACTAGTAGTGAATTGCCTCTTCCTCCTGATGAGACTGTGAGCTGTTCGGGTCGTTTGCCCTTGCGCCAAGCATCACTTCAGAGCCTGGCTTTGAGCCCTCTGCTTCACGAGGCTGTACAATGGTGATGGCCGGGGTCACGGGCGAGAGCTCATCCTGGTTTGTCACAGACTGGAGGTTTCACAGCAATTGATGGAACGTGAGTAACATGGGTTCAAGAAAGCTTGGACTTTCTCCGGATTCTCTTCTAAAGTGTCTTACTACAGTAGTAACAAGAAGCTAGTAGAAACAAGTGCATCGCTACTAGTAACAAGTGCCTTACTAGTAGAAACAAGAAGCTATTAGAAACAATAAAGTGTTCACTCCTCACCGAATTCGTCTTCACCATCCTTGCAAGTGAGATCGCGAGGCTTCCCAGCGTACAAAGCAACTGATCACTATTGGCATGTGCATGAAGCCGTTTGGGAGCGTTGATGGTCTTCCATGGCTTCTAGGACATGTTGGAGCAGACAAGAAGGCCGAAGGCTCTTGTCCTTTTCAATGTTTGCAAAAAAAGAACAACTGATACTGTAATACATAAGACTGTGTATATATTTGTTCTTTTTCCTGTTTTTCTCTTGCCAAAAGGTGTGCTAACTAACCGGCACTAACTCAAAGTTCTATGAAAGAATCTGTCACACCCGTAGGCGCCCCTAAAAGGCCAGCATCACTCAGTACAGCTTGCGCAGCAAGCAGACAATAAGATTTGATATATATACTTATATATACAGTGTATAAATATAATTATGCCTATGTACATTATAGATGTTCATATAGTATAATGTACGTCATTTGCAATTGGCAACGACAAGCTGTGGTTCTGCCAATTTGCATTCTCTATAAATTTGAAGCAGTTGCGATAATCTACTGCGATATTGAGACTGCCCGATGAACCAGTCCAGTGAGTTCTCTCCAAATGTCTCACACAAGAATGATTTACAACAACTTCGGCTGTACAAGATCCTGAGGTGATATACCTGTAGGAAGTACCACCGGTCCCGCAAATTCAAGATGTTGTTTCTTCATGTTTCTCCCTCACGCAGCAAACTCAGTTTGAGATTTGCTATCAACTGATCAAATAGAGCCTGGTTTGGCAAGCTCAAGCGACGCGTCTTGGTGCATGTCATGTTTGATGCAGAACCACAAAATCCACGGTGAGGCCAGGTCTTGTGCGACCTTCTCTGTGCGGCCACGGGTCTGATCCCTCAGCCGAAGACTTCCTCTCAACCTGGCCAAATTGGAGGCCATCGCTCTTAGGTTGGAGGCCATTGCTATTCGGTTGGAGGCCATCACAGGTCGAGCCCGTTGGCCACGCTATGCCACGTTTCATCACAGTGTCCGTCAGGGTGGAACGCAGATCTTGTGGTTTCAAAAAGAGGACCTGAAATCGAACCTTCAGGTGGTGCGCACCATTTCCTCAACACCACCCAAGGGCCCAAGGGCCTGTGGCTCTCTTTGTGAAGCTTCAGGATCCACAACATCAGAAACCTTGGAGTTTCAAATGCCTGGAAACCTAGTGGTAGTGGTGCTGAGATGGTTTGTCTTGGGCTGGACGTTCGTGGTGTACAAAAGGAAGATTAAGGGACGTCAAGGAGAAAGAAGTGACTATGTCTCAAAGATAATTCAAAGTGGAGCACGCACGAGAGTACCATTGCAAACACACTGGTGAAGGGAGATATAGTGAACAATAGGCTAATAGTTACTTGTGGTCCCTGATTCTTCATCATTTCTTGAGCCACCTCCAGTTGGCTCAAACTAAGTCAATCGCAGTAAGCTGCTGGAAAGCTCCTTGGTCTTGTGAGGACTCTTGCGCCCTGCTTCCAGAGCCGCCCTGCCAGGCGAGAGTTGAGCATAACTTTATGTTGCCAAGTAAGTCTCCTGCAGTCTGTCTCAAACTCAAGTTTCCTGAAAATCTAGAAACCAAATGAATAGTGCGAGCGCTGCTTCAAGGAAGCTCCTTTCCTTGAAGAAGCGTGAGATCCTGCGTCCGTATGTAGTAGCTTGCTTGTGGGTACTAGCTACCTAGCTTCTCCTAGCTACCACTACCTCACCTAGCTAACCTACCTCACCTCTACACGGCCTGCCCCCCTCAAAAAAAAGGTCTACTGCTTGTCTCAAACATTCTTCTGGCAAATCACAGTTGCGGTGGGTGTCCCTCCCTTTTCCCGGACGGTCGAAATCAATCGTCGTACCCACCTGCCTCACTGGCCACCTGGCTCGGACCAAAGTCAACCCTCGGACTTTTGGCTCAGCTCGGACTGAAAATTTGGTTCTCTCGTCGATTAAAAGCATAGCATTTGGGGCCCTTTCAATAGGGCTCCCCTTATAGAGAGGGGACCTTACTAAAGGATCCCAAAGACCATGACCATCCTTTTGCAATCTTTCTCCCCTCTCAAAAAGACTTCTGAACCAATAAAATCACAAACAAGATGGAACCCACGAACCCGAATGAATCACACGTTTAACCCAGCACGATGTCATCGCAAACATAAGCTTTTTGTGACACATGTGGTCGCTGCGAGCGCATCATCAGCGACGTGGTAGGGGTAACGGCAGCTGCCAACGCCAGCGCGTCTGAAAGGAGTAGAATAGAAAACGGCAGCCGCTTGAGGTGACGGAGGCAGCGCCGTACCTGATCCAGAGCGTCAAATGGATATAATGCGAGGTATGTACACGTCAACGTGAGCAGACCACGAGTTGAGTCCCAAGCATGACATGGAATCCTTTCGAGTGTAATATTATGGTCGGTTCATGTTCTTAGTAGTCAAGCACTGGTTTTCTGTTTCATGCATCTCTCTTCGTACAACCAAGCTGGAAGATCGACCAGGATACTGTCTCCGGATGAGCTGGAGCAGACCCGGGGACTGAGCCACACAGGTAGATAGGCAGGAAACGGCAGCCGCCAGAGGTGACTGACGCAGCGCAGTGCCTGACGCAGAGAACCAAATGCAGGGAATGTCATGTATGTACACGTCAACAGGAGCAGACCACGAGTCGATTCCCAAGCATGACATGAAACCCTGTCGAGTGTAATGCAATGGTAGGTTCGTGGTTTTAGTAGTCAAGCACAGGTTGTCTGCTTCATGCACATCTCTTTTTAGAACCAAGCTGGAAGATCCAGGAGGAGACTGTCTGTGGATGAGCTGGAGCAGACCCGGGGACTGAGCCACAGAGGTCGACAGCAAGAAACATGAACTGGAGTAAACCCCGAGACTGAGCCACAGAGGTTGACACCAAAGAACACAGCTCAGAAAAATCACGACACAAGGTCGTCCAAGTCATCCTTCCCAGCCAGCACACTCTTTCCCCTACGTCCGTGGCCTTTGCCGCGCGGGGCCTCTCAGCCCCAGCGCGCGCAGCTTTCGTCGAGAGCTACGGCGCAACCTTGGCACATGGACAGCGAACTGTCAGATGACCGACAACCATATCCAAACCAAAGAGAGCAAGAACATTGCAATCATAGCTGTAGCGGTCGTAATGAGATCAGGAACAGAAAGAAATTGTATCTATGTCCGGCATCCAATGTCCGCACACGGGGCCACCGCTCCGATGGTTCTTCCCCATGCCATGACCTGTCAGCCAATCACAGTCAGCAAAGAATCGACGGATAGAATCGAGACTCTCTGCACGCGGATAACTTTGACAGGCAAAAGGTTTATCCCCCGACCCAACACGAAAATCGCAGCAAAGACACATGGACTAGTAACGGCAAGCCAATCACGCTGCATATCGACGACAACATTTCATTTCAAATCACGCAAGCTACAGCACCCGCAAAGCACAGTCAGTGGCGCTTGACCTGACAGAAGCAAAGGAGATGCAAGGACCGATATAGATCTGAACTCGGGAGAATTATATCCACCCAACACAACCGTCGCCCCGCCTGGTCCACACATCCAAGTCCAGCGGTGCGCATGCATACAAAGCAAATCCTTCCCCAACCCCACCACCTGCGAGGACTGAGCCATCGCCATGTCAGACTCGTAACACATCATCAACTTTGCAGCTTGCGCAAAGCATCGGCTAATGAAGTCGGAAGTTCTGCCGGTAGGCATGCGCTTTGAAACCCACTGTCTACATCCAGGACCAAGACTTGAAAATGCTGATGCGAAACGTTGTACAAGCATACATAAGCTGCAGGGTCTTCCACTGCTGCTGCGTAAGAATGTAAGCAGTTCGCTGGGAGATCTTCACCTGTCACTGGGGCGCTCACCGGTTCATTCCCCACGATACAGAAACATATTTTCAATTCTTTCGCTAAAACATCCACATCCCAGTGCGTGGCCCAATGCTTGTTACCAGCTTCACTGACATGGCGAGCAATCACACTCTGTAAGCTCTGCAAAACATCACTGCCATTCATGATGCTGTGGCGCACCACACCAACCTCTTCTCCATGCTTGCATTGCAAAACTAAATGGCCTCTGGAATCTTCAGTGATAGTGGTTACTTCGTTCACAGTTTGCATAAAAGCGAAACACGTTCCAGCAATGACCTGCGACATCTTCCACTGGTCCAACCACGTACCAGCAAGTTCATCCATCAGGCAAGTGGTCAGAAAGTCCACGAAGCGCCGTGGCGACCACTGCAGAACGGCGCGGCCTATGATGTCCCGCAGTCGTTGAGCCAGGACTCGGCGCGAGGGTCTGTCCGCTAGCAGTGCTTGCAAGGTCGGTGGAAACGTCACGCACTGCTCGTGCCACAGCTGCAGACATACGGCCACCGACAAGAAAAAGCAATCGCCTCCTCCACCGGCATCTGCAGCGAAAGCCCGTAGGCGATGCTGTCGCAGTAAATACTGCTGAGCGACTTGTGAGAGAAAGTGCAACCGTAAATTGCGCGTCTCGCAAAACTGCTCACGATCCGGATGTGGTCTTCCCGGCCAGGGCCGTTTCGTGCTCCCCGAAGAAGTGGTCGCAGACCTAGCCGTCGCCCGCGACCAAGCATCCAGTTCGTACACAAAGGAGCCATCCGTGTCTTGGCGCAAAGGCCGCGGTAAGAGATCCGCGCGGGGAAAACCAGGTAAATGTTCCAACGCAGTTGCCACGGCCAGCGACGAGGACTGAGCCATCTCCTGCACGAGCAACCATGTCATGACATTCACACTGGTGTCACAACACATACTTACAACGGTGATGTTTTCTCCCGCCGATCACGCCTCCAAACGAGCCAGGAACTGTGCAATATAAGCCGGTGGTCCGTGTTCGAAGACACTGAAGTCGATGTCTTGACCGTCTTCTTGCATTGGTAAATTGCGAAACAAGCAATGCTCCAAGCAGGTGGACCTACCGGTAATCATATAAACATGCTGTACGTATTCCTCCGGAGTGAAATAGTCTGGTTTCTTGAAGTCCACAGTATGCCCCATGTTCCGCACAGTCTTTCCCTGTTGATTATTGTAGGTGCCTGCAGTCCACGGCGCCAGGGGATATTGCACTCGAGTAACATCCAGGTAAACTTCTCCGCGGCGACGAACGCGCAGCTTGAATTCGTCTTCAGACGGATCCAAATGCCAGACACCAAAATGTCCTTGTCCAGTGTAGTCGTCGCCACGGTCCTCACAAGGGAACATTAGCGTGTATGGATCAGAGTACGGCGCGCAGCTAACATACCAGATACTATATATTTTTGATGGTGCTGTACTATTTATCCAACGGTTCCTGCAATGTGATCACAATCGAAGCCTTCAAACAACCCCGGCCTCGACGCGAATACTCACAGAAGAAGGTAAATAGTCTAATCTGCAGACGCCTTCGCTCCAACAGGGGTGGCCAGCCGGTGGTTGGGGTAAACCCGGTGGACATTCGGGAATGCCATATCTTTCCTGCGGATGTACTCCAATGGCAATGACTTCCGCAGGACATTCTTGCACCAGTTCAGGGGCCATCAGTTTCTTCGTGATTTTGACACGCAGGCCCACATGCAGAGGACAAAATGACATCAAACTGCAAGTTTTGGAGGCCATATTGGTAATTGCCAAGCACTCGTGCAAGATGCTTTTGTCAGCAAAAAACTCCTTCTGATGAACCAAATCCACGGCTTGCGCGTAATAGATGACCTGTCCTGGCTGAAACATGCAGGACGTCAGGGACTGAGCCACCGACTGCAAGCCTTGCCAAAACTTAGCATTGATGGAGCGTCCCAACGCCGGAGGAAAATGTCGATGAATCCGCACGGCCTTGCCAGCCGCAGTGTTTCGCCATGCGCTGACTCCAAAACTGCTTTTGGCGGACTCATAGACAGTGATTTGTTGCAAGCGTGCCACCTGATCCCAGTTGATTGCCGAAAACATGCCATTGGCAAAGAAGCCCCTAGGACCCACTTGACGTCCATCTGCGTCTCGCATCACGAAATCACTGTCCAGACGAGGATCCCCAGCCAAAGGTCGAAAGACTTGCTTACGAATGGCGTCTTTCAACTCTTCCCGCAAAGGATTGTGACCCTCCTTACGCATGTTGCTGAGGATTCCCCCGAAACAGAATTGTTTGCGGCAAAAATTGACCAAAGATCTGCAAGCCCAACCGGTCGATGTCCTGCTTGCGTTGCCGTTTGGCTTGCGGGAAAGCGACCGTGTTGCTGCGCATGCCTCTCTGCTTCTCTTCTTTTCGCTGCGGCTTGTGTGGTTCAGCAATAATCTTCTGCACCACGGCGCGACCCAGCGACAGGAGGAGGAAGGTCATGGGTGACAGCTTCTTACCCTTGCAGCGGAACACGGCCGGCTCCCTGCCGATCCACAGCGAGTTGGCCAGTGCATACTTGGGCATGACCGGTACTTTCCGTGTCAGACTCTTGGCACAGGCTTCGCACACGTCAACAACAGTGTCGGGACTGAGCCTCGACGGTAACATCTTCGTGTTGAGCAACCATCTCCAAGGCTTCCCTTCTTCATCTTTTCCCGATGGGTGTTCTGCACTGCTTGCCAAAAGCTCTTCAATGGGAATCAGCGGCCACAGCTTCGCATACCTGTAGACGTTGAAGATGTGTGTGTGTGTGTGCAATCTGCGAACAACTCCAGCATCCACATGCAAGATGTCAGACTCATCTTCCGAAGTCTCCGCTGCGGGAACCTCGGCCGGTTCCTCTGCTTCTGCGCCTGCCCCAGTCTCAAAATCGGGCACTTCCGCCTCGTGTGCTGCCCCCCGTTGCAATTCTTCCACAAATAATTTTAACGGTCGCAGATCTTCTTTCCAACGGCCTCGAGCACATACACAA